TAGAGTTTTTTAAATTACTGAGATCAATAATAATAATCAAGAAGCGAGAGAGTATAATGGGAATTAATGATTTTTTGCGGAATTTAAAGGTCATATGCGCTATTAAGACATCAAAAAATCCAGCTCCGTCTATTTTGACTTACTGATCGAGTCCGGGAATATCTCCAGGATTGAATCGAATACATATTCCAATCAATAATGCTGCAAGTCCACGCACCAGGGTTTCGGATTCATCTGAATCGGCACTGGCTGCTTCAGCTATGAGTAGAGAAAGGTTTGCTCCATATGTAGGTTTACGCGTTACGACTGTCGATGTGTCCGATAAACTCGACTCTGCACAACTCGGATGTTGCCAGACCTCTTCAGACGGTCCCCCTAAGAATCTATGCACAGTAACAGGGCTGTAAGATAGCCAAACACATAGAAATTGCATAACACCGAGTTTGGCCTGAAACCGGAGTTCCTTGTCAATGGCCAGGATGATTGAAATGCGAAGGAAAGGAAATAATTAATATAGAACTAGGTATAGCTTGAACTCCTGAAATTAGTGGCTATGTAACTAATCAAAGAAATTGAATGGAATGCCAATATTCAATACACTTAGAAAAAGCGCAAGCCCACAAAATCGGAAGCTAAATGATAATGTTGTCGCTTGGTGAGCAAGACCAAGCAAGGATTGAAGTTTAGTTAAGATAATAAGGAATTCGGGGGTGCTATTGTAGACAAAAATCAATGACATAAAATTCAAATGTTAATCTGAATCTACTAATAGTTTGAAATCTAGTTATTTTGAAAAATATATTCTTAGAACAAAGTAAAAGCTCTTCAAAACGACTGAGGATAAATAGCCTGAAATTATAAGCGTCTGTCTAGTGATTTTTTCAAATGTTGTCTTAGTCGAGGAAAGCAATAGTCTTTAGGAAAATGAAGTAATCTATGAAAATTCGCACTCGAACACTACACCTTTCAAAAGTTATACACATTATTATTGATAAAACACTTTGCGATCACTGGTAAACTCGCTCCTTCAGTATGGACAAGTCAAGTTTCTTCTATATCGACCTGCTTAAGCAAGCCCGGAGAAGAAATATACATATATGCTGAATCATGTAGTCTTTATCCTTCACAATGATCGCAAACTTTAATTAGACCAATATTCATGGTAAGATGGCTTAAGAAATTGTCCAAGAATGTTCCATGCATGCATAAAATTATTTTTTAGTGAATAGGAATACCTCTACGCAAAACTCAGGGTGAACATAGCAGTTGGAGGAATCATAGTGGTACATACATATATATACACTATATGCCAAATCGATATATTTGAGTAAAAAAATCAATTAGATCCAATCGTATAGTCTTAGCCTATTCATTAATAATGATTTGTTAAGGATAATATTTATGACTATTAGTGACATCCGAACTCTAATGAAAGTTCTCAATCGATTTGCTAATAGCATATCCATGGGTTAATAAAATGCAGTAATGCCATCTTATACGCATTACTTTAAAAAGCAAGACTGTGATCATAAAAG